CAATCTTGTCATTGTGAAGTACTGCATCTGACATACGATGTACTTTTACCTTTTACATACTGTCACACCCACGAATGACGACTGGGTGTGACTCAAGCGTCAAATGTATTTGAAAATGGCATAAGCACACAAGTGTCTCACTGACTTTCGTTTAATACCTTCAGTACGTGGCTACAAGGTTACAGACTTTTTCCAAGAATAGGCTTAGGTTGAGACAACTCACTTTTAGTCACCAGCTTCTCTTCATATTTTCAAATTTCGCATTAAATTTTTTTCCAGTTCTCTAGTGTTTTATTAGTTACAAGGCAAATGAGGTTATCTAATTGTTAAGAAGAGATTTTCAGAAATGAAAAACAGTAGAGTTGGACAGCTGGTTTTTACGGATTATAACAGTTATTTGACTGTATTACACTGTAGATATTTTAATAAGCTTTAGCTCTCATAATCCATTTTCTTTTTCATACAACAGTTATATTCATTTAAACATTAAGCTTAGATGGCTCCATCAAGTATTTGAAATTCACTATGCATTTTAATCTGTCTACTTACATGTAGAAAAGTATCATTTATAGATTTTGAAATGTAGGTTTCTAAAGTTTCTCAATCCTACAACTAAGATCAGCGTTTAACCTAAACTACTAGAGTGAATAAACTATAGATGATTGAGTAAAACTTAGTCATGACACAGTTTCATTTGCTTGTATATAGGTAATCTATTCGAGTGAAAAAAGTGTACAACAACATCTTACTGATACAACCAATGCTGGCAAGGCAGTAAACGTAACATTTGATTACAAGAAGTGTTAATCATACTATGTACGTGGAATCTGTGACAGCCTAAGCTAATCTTCCAAACGAATTAGTGATTTTGAAATCTTTAAATTAAACAGTCCATTTAAGTAAAGTACTTTCATTTTTTTAAAATTGAAAAGGCTTTGATACGTGTACGTTCAAAAAAGTATGCCGAGCCTCTAGATCTCTCTTGCCTCAATATAAGATCAACTAAAAGTTAATCATCTTGTCCTTCTACATCTGTCTGGTACTGCTGTATCCCTTCGAAACAACATGTTTGCGTCACACTATTATTATTACTATTATCAATATTGAGATACCTCAGTATTTACCATTCATTAAACTCCTATTGAGAGCATCCCTATTTAAAGGATACAAATATGTTTATGAGGTTAGAAAAACTGTGAAAAATTTACTAGAGAATCCGATGAATCAGAAGGACCTGATTTCTTTGAAGATATTCTCCGGTATATTTAAACTTTTCCACTGTTAATTAACACAAGACATATGGAGATTTTGATGTTAGATGGTTCGAGGCAATCGGCAGGAAGACTTGTCCGGACCTGGGTTCCCTGCAAGTTGGCACTCACCAGTCAGCAAGGCGTATCTGCAAACCTGAAGGAACTTATGTCCCTTCTGAGATTCGAACCCGCGTCACCCAGTGCTGCAGTCAGAGACGTTACCACTGAGCTATTCGGGCTCGCGATTGGCCTAGTTACTAGTGTCCAATCAAAATATCCACTACAGTCCTACAGGAGGTCATCAAATCGATGTTCAACGTGATGGCGAGCGACCTAGAATGGTGGCCACATTGCAAACCTGACCGATAGAATTCAGTCTGCACCAAAGAAAGGACTAGACACATCACACTAGTTACTAGTGTCCAATCAAAATAAATAACTTATTGCTAAGACAATATTTTTCTACTTTCTTGAACTTTTTGTATAAGACGAAGAGAAGCAGACAGATAAACAGCAACTGAAAGTATATGAATGGTTCACCTTTCAATTAGTGCACGAAAACATAAACGTACAGTGATTTGGAACCCAGCATTTCTACACAATCATCATGACTGCCATCCTTATATATCTATACCAAGCAGAAAGTTAAACAAAGGGATGATAAAAGCATCAAAGTCATTAAATAACCTAGGGTATTAGGAAGCTGTGACACAGAAAATAATAAAAGATAACGCGTGATACCTAGAGACTTTGCAGACCTACTTGTAGTAGTAATGTTTCTTAACTGTATATTAGAATGTATTACATCGGCAATATTTTTTACTGATGTTTATAAACGAAGCAAAAACGTTGTGTGAGTACCTTGATATGATATTGAGCAATAAATTGTGCTCTAAACGTCATCAGTAAATATTACTATATAACACTGTGTGACATTATGAAAATAAATTTTATCCATTATGGAATTGAAAATCTTTCATTTGTATTTGAAGAAAGCAATAACAGGATAAAACGAATCCATTTCTCACTTTGTCAGTATCTTGTCATCTGTATACAGTCTGAATAATGGAAGTTAATAGTTCATTGGAGATGAAATGTGGAACAACAATTACAAATGATTGTAGCATATAGATAGGCTAAGTTAGTAAAATACAAAACACCTTTGTACTTATTTAGGTTATGCAATTGAAGTTTCTCAAATAAAGCAAAGTATGGAGCAATGGTATCAACGAGATATTGAGGCACATAAGTCAGTTAGATTACTTAAGGCATTAGAAAATTGTTAATGCACAAATAATCTATGAAAAAATGTTGATTTAAGAACATTCAATTAGATATCAGATGTATGAAGCGTGACGCTTACCAAATGATGACGTGATTAAGCAAGAGTGAATAGAAGTCAGCATTTACACTTAATAAAAGGATGATATAATGAACTGACTTATCAACCGTACCCAAGAAAATACTTTACATGAGCTTGAAATTCAAAGGGGACTTAGCTTCCGATATCATGAAACGAAGGATATCACAGTCCCTGAAAAGAACATTCCCTGCTGCATCTCTGAGAATAGCCTTTACTAGTCGACCATTATTGTTCAATAACCTGAAGGACAAGATCCCGCTGTTGACCAACTCTATGTGTGTTTATCAATTCACCTGCTCTTGTGGAGCTAGGTATATCGGTCGTTCGACACGAGTTTTGTCCAAGAGGGTGCAAGAACACTATCCTGCATGGTTACGAAAAGGTGGTAGTGGAGCAATAAGAAGCGCGATCATTGAACATCTGGTCGATAATGATCACCCTATCTCTATAGCCTCCGCCTTCAAAGTCATCTACAAGGCAAAGAGTAACCTACCCAAATCCCTACGTACCCGACTCATCTGTATTGCTGAAGCTTTGGCTATCGAAACAGAAAAGCCAGATCTCTGTGTACAGAAGAAGTTCGTTCAACCCCTCCAACTTTCATGGTCTTAATCCCTCTATGCTAAAGTATGGTAATCCCCAATCATATTTTAGCTCTACCAATTTTTCATTTTTGTCTATTCAATTTGTATACTCTTCCTTATTACGTCAATTGTTACTATTACTACTCTCACTTTTAATTGTCCTCGGTATTATTCCACTTGTTCCACTTGTTATTCTAAATCAATTCCTTTTTACAAAATTAAATTCTATGCTATTAAATTTCACACAATATTACGTAGTGTTTTTGTTTTATTCGATTTGTCTTTTTCAAGTTCTATCCATCCTATGAATTATTCTTTATATGACAATTATTTGCTTTGCCACTTGACATTTAACTACGATTATAGTCACAAACATTTTAGTTTTAATTGCACTTCATATTATTATTATTATTTTATGCATTCACACCTATGATTCAATTCTCTCACCAGACATAACTTCTTAAAAACCATATACATACGACTGTACAGCTTGATGATAAATTCGTTGAAAAGAGTCTCTTCGCTGAATCATTTGTTTTGATTTTCTATAATGAATTGAGCTTAGAAGACGAGTTACCAATGTAGAGGAAAATTTACTGTGGGTCTTTTAACTATTTGATAACGATAACCTTTGAGAACTTCAAGAAACTTGAGCTTGACTGTTTATTTATTAATTTGTATTATTCATGAAACATCGATCACATTTCATATATAAGTACAACAGTGTTTTGCATTTTACTAACTTTGCATATCGATTCATCTATATACCTTAATCATTGACAAATTATTGTTCCATATTTCATCTGCAATGAACTAAAGTATGTTAAGACTGTAATATAACTATTAACTTGCATTATTCAAATTGAATGCAGCTGACAAGATACTGACAAAGTGAGAAATGGATTCGTTTTATCCTACACCATGTGTTGTTATTGCTTTGTTCATATTCATTAAGGAGAATTCATGTATGAAATTACATTTGTACTCAGAGGTGTTTGATACATGTAACTATAGTTCTGCCCTATTTTGAATCGTCTTACAATATCAATATCCGATTAGAATAGCTACACTATAGATAATTTCTTTTTCTTCTTTAAATGACTTTGGAGGAAAGAAGGATTTCTTTTACGCGTTCATTGATGTCACTAGTTTGTGGACATTGACAATTCAGTCAATAATAATAGTTTGATAACCAAACGCTTTTCACAAAACTTTCACCGATCATGGAGACGATTCTTAATGATCACTGTACACATACTTATTATATCAACACAACCATGCAATAAAAAACTGATAAGGAATGAATTTTTGTCTAGGCTGTAAGTGAATGCACCCTGAGGATGAATTGCATAAGTCAAGCAAATCATATCTAAAGTTTCTAGTTGATTACCTTCAAATACCTCGTAGCATACACTTTGCAATAAGTTGTATTTGTTAGACATTGTATTTCGATCATCATTTAGAATAATATTTTCTGTCTGATTATTCCTTAAATGCCATATTTTCAATCAGTCTTGGTGCTCTTAAAATTACTTAACAGCAATGAAATCCATCTATTTGTGATTTGTATAATCCAAACGATGGCTACAATGCACTACTATTTAATTATTCAAAGTCATAATCAAATGAAAGGTTATGTAATGTTATTAGGATCTGCTTTAAATAACTTAAAACCAAAAGAAATAAAGACCTTTAATTCAATAGCAACACAGTTAATAATATAAACATATATTAGTCTATGTACATGAAGAGTCATAGCGAACGGTTACCACACAATGGCTGACAGAGTATCTGTTTTTATTAACACGGAGTATGACTACAATCACCAGTATTTTCATACATGTGTAATGGATAGTTGTCTTTTCCAAGGGATGATGAATTTCTTGAAAATTTACAATTTAAGCAAGTGCACTGATGATGTATATGATGATGATGATGGTGATGTTGATGGTACTTCTGAGACTGTGATTGATGACTATTACAGTCATGTGGGATAGCTAAACATTTCCATTGTTGACTATCATCTTCAAGTAAGTGTTTCAGTTTATCATAAATCTGTATTGCGGTTGGACGTTTGTGTGGATTACATGACCACATCTCACACATCATTTCCCAAAGTTCATCATTCACTAATATAGGTCTATCCAATATAGATGGTGAAGGTGATTTCTCACCATTTATTACTGATCTTGCTGCATCTACTGATAACTTGGAGTTATTGTTCTTACTAGTTTCCCTATAATTATTATTCATGCTCTTCACACTACTATGTTCTGTTAATATACGCACCAATTCTTGAAATGTTCTTATCTCCTGAAATGGTTGACGGGTTTCCAGATGAAACAGCTCCCATAAAAGTAAACCATATTGCCATATATCTGAACTGAAATAAAATTTATGCTGAAGTAAGGCTTCTGGAGGTAGAATTCGAAGTGGTAACTTTTTTCTCGGCGTTAAAACACGATAATATTCATCAATCAACTGATCCTCATTGAATTCACCATCGATGTTATAAATATCATCTTTAGTTATACTATTCATCGGTGTAAGTTGTACAGCCAAACCAAAATCGCTAATTTTAGGTATATAATTATGATTAATTAAAATATTTCTAGTCGCTAGATCCCTATGTATCACAGCATTTTTCACTAGATAGACAACACCAGAAATAATCCCAAAAGCAAAACGATATAACTCTCCAACTGTCAATCGATACTTTTCTAGTTCATTTGTATCCTCCACAGGTGTTTTCAACTTGTCTTTATCACCAGCTGTGATTAGATGATTCTCTTCATAATCCATTAAAGTATCAATAATTTGATGTGAATGCGATCGAATGAAATTAGCTAAACTCTTGTGTATGCAACATTCAAGAATTAAATTTACACCTTGTAGACTGTTACGGTTACTTCTCTTCACTCTGTTGTCTAACATTATCCCAATCATTTTAACAATATTTTCACAATTATTCAAATTGGTTAATATACGTATTTCATTTTTTAAACATAACAGATTGTTACTATCACTATGATTATTATTGTTATTATTATGATTTTCATTGTTTTTGCACATATTTTGTTCAATTGTTGATGAAGCTTTTATAGCAACAGCATAATTTTGATTATCACCTTTTAATAATATATCACCTAGTCGACAGTCAATATGTTGTCTGACAAATGAACAGTGTAACCATGCTTTAAACACTGTACCATAATGTCCTGAACCGAGTGGATAGTTTGATCTTTTAATATATTTACGTGGAATTAACCATTTATCAATTTCATTTAAAGTGTTGTTATTATTATTAGTAGATGCAGATGTAATAGTCGTTGTTGGTGTCGCTGTTGTTGTTGCTGTTGTAGTGATTGTCGTATTAGTAATATCACTATTAGTGTGAATAGTAGTATCATTAGTTAAGCCTAAAATTTCATTTAAAATGTGTTCAATTGATTTATAATCCTTATATAGTCTATATGAGGATGATGTTGTTGTTGATGACGATAACAAAGAAGGTGGTTTAAACTGATATGCATGAAAATGATTATATATACGTTTATAAAGAATATTCGGGAGTGAAATATTTGATGAATATTGACTTTTGAAATTAATTTTATAATATAAGCATATAATTATACTGCAGATGATGGTGATTAAGGTTACTGGTAAGATAACTAAACTAACCCATAACCCTATCTTTTTTATAATGCTGTGTAGTTTAGTAGATGTATAAACATTTATATAATCGTAATCTGTATAAACTAAATTAATCTGTTTATTTATGCTTCCTGCAGTATTGTTAGCTAAACATTTATAGTAAGATTCATTTAAACTGTTTAGGAAGATTGTCGAGAATGGCAAAGATAGATTGTATGTACAAGTTTGAATCTTTTGATCAATATTTGTTGGATAAATTGTTAAAACAGCATCATTTTCATGTTCCACTGAACATATTTGTACAGTTTCCCACTTTATAAGCATTTTACTTTCATTATACACTGCTTTCATCCATTGTATACTTGGTCTTGGTAAACCAATAGCCTGACAGGTTAATTCTATGCTTATCTCAGTAGTGTTATCAATAGATTTACTGTTATTTAACTGTTTATGCTTTATGAAGGGTTTGACTGACTGTATGCTTTGTGTCGGCTTTAAGATTTTTGGTTGAATTTGTTTATATGTATTGAATTTAATCAAGTATTGTTCATCTTCATGTGAACATTTGAATTGACTTAACTGATCATTTTGTGATGCATTGAACTGAATAACACTTTTTACTTTCAATGAATACGGTGATGATAACCATAATTTATTCTGAACAGAATTATTTTGTGCATAAATGTTAAATAATTGAGGCCATTTTTCGGATTCAATTTTTCTAGGTCGTGTATGTAATTTCCGGATACATTCTAGTTCCACAGATGTACCTTCAACTACAAAAATCTCAGAATTATTCAGTTGTAAGTCTATTTCATAGGACTTTGGAGAACCATATGTCTTGATAATAAAGTATAGCTGTCTTTTATTCATAGTGTTATCCATAAAACTGTCCTGTGAACTGCTGTTCAGGAATTCTACAACAGTGAAATCGTTGAAAATGACACACTTTTCTTGTCCAGTACTATAAATTCCAGTCTGATAAAAACTAACACATTTCGCGCACAATTTTTCTGGCCAGTAATTTGAATATAAATTACTAACGTTGGATACTTCATTGATTCGCTCCGCCAGTTCTGGACTCTTATCGAATGATATCTTTGGATAAATAGTGGCGTTATAGATAGGCGGCAGACTCAGTCTATGTACAAGTGTCTTATCAAATGTTGTATAATTAAGAGTTTCGTTACCAATAGAAATGAACCAAGTAACATTACGAGGATGATTGTAGCCGAGATTTTCTACAATCCTCCTTTCAGTGTCACTCGGAACACACAGGAGATTTTGTTCTTGTGTAACATCACTTTGAAGGTTTTGAATTATTCTAGGAGATTCTAGAAGAGATTTGATGACAAGTAATTGGAAATGTCGTTTTATTTTACCATATCCAATGGAGAAATTTACTGTCTGACTTACTGATTTAAGTTTTGACCGAATACAACATTTCCAAGCGTACCTGGTACGAATTAAATTTATTTGTATGTCTTTATAGTTCTCAGATTGTTGTGTGTTGTTTTTATTAAGTATACAGAATGGTTGGCTCTCGATTTCATGGTTTGTCCAAAATGATACATTCAAGTTGAATGTGTCATTGCTTATGATTAAGTTTAAGCGATTGGTTTCACTTAAAGATGTCTTATTTTCATTTGAAACTAAACAATCACAATCAAAATTGACGTGTAATCTGTTAAGAATTTGACTATCGGTTAACAAGATTTGAATTATTTTCTGACTTATAGGTGCCATTCTGTCCGGTGTGGTTGTCTCGCATACAATCAGTGTATTATTCATTGTCTGACGTCTCGTCAATAATGCAAGTTGATAACTAGAAAAAGCATAGAGAATTGGCAATTTGTTAAACGTTTGATGAGTACTCAAACATTCTGTTCTTGCCCAGGTACTATTATCTTCAGGTAGATAATACTGATGTTGGTTGACTGTCTTGAGTAGTGTTTCGTTTACCTTTAAAAAAATAAATAAAAGGATGAAATTTTTATCGAACATATAACACATGGAATTTATACTTACTCCTTCGTCTATTTAACAGATACAGTTGATAGATATTAATAAAAACTTATAGGAGTTTATTTCAATTGTAGAAGGTAGCATTTACACCAAAGTGAATAATAGTGAATTTGAAAATATCGAAGTTTATTCAGAATATACATGCATTCAGATATACACCTCTTAGTCTGAGATTATTACCTGTATGGTGAATAGTATAAAGTAATGCCGATTACAAGCATTATTCTAAGGAAGAATTTCACTGTAGTCTTCTGCCCTGTGACTTACGTGAAAACTGCTTTAATGTATCTGGCATCTGTACGTCAGTTCAGGTTATCTAGTTATAAAAAGATGGTCTTACGTTCACAGACTCCCTTGACCAAAACTGTCTAGATGAGGTGATGATTAGCTCAAATTTAAAATGCATGAAATACAGATATTTACGACGTATGTTAGTAGACTTTCGAAGGCTTTAAGAAGAAGTTCATTAAGCAAATGAACTTCTAGAGATTAAAGTTGCCAGTTTAAAGAAGGTAAATTTTTAGTAGCATATTCGTGGCATAAAGTTTGTCAGTCCCAGTGTATGGTGTGACTGAGCTGACAGTATGAGACACTTTGCTAGATTATTCAAATACATTAGAACAAATGCGTCCAAATCCTTGTTCACTTGTAATTCTTTGTGTTTGAAGGACTTAACAATATGTTTTATACCGTCACTCTGTAGCTGTTAGCCAACTGGTTCATCGATGCCCGACCGAAAGCTGCTACCTTGACGTGGTGGTCGGGCTTGAACACCGCAATGACCCAACAAGCTATACTGGCTGGAACTTATGTTCCTGCAGGTCCTACCATGCCAGAAAAGTTGTTTGGATAGCGGTTAGACTAAAAGCAGTTGCCCAATCCAATCCTATGACTTCAAATAAATCACAAAATATCATCCCGGATTGGTCGGGGCCCGGATTAACAACGACCGCGCTTTCTGCTGCCGTGTCACGTGGCAGAAGTGATAAATACGCTACTGAGACACACCAAATGAAAAACAACAAACAAAACAGGCCGTGTGTGACCGGCCACAAGCAGTTGTCCCCTGGGCTCTGAGGTCACGCAACCAACTTCCACGGTGTGGGCAGCCGGGAAGTAACAATCGCCCTCACAATCCGAAGTGCACACAATCAATCATCGATGGGTTTGCAGAATTTGATTGTTCATGAATGAATCATAGGTGCTTTTGTACAACACAATGAGAAAACGAGTAATTTTACAGATAAACTCAAAATAATTTTTTAATGTACAACTTCTCATTGGCCTAAACAATCTGAATGTATTTTAAACGAATGAAATTCAAAAACAATAAGGTTAGATTCAGGCATTATTGATTTGATTTCGTACTTATCTGCATCATTTACCAGTATAACGCAAATATAACACTAAGGCATGCCGGTGTTTTTACTAGCTAGTGGGAATGCATGTTACTAAGTCGATGATAGCTGGGTTTTAAGTACCTCTAAATTCAACACCGAGAACGAGCTGGAGATCTAGGAAACATGTTGAGCAGTAATGCCCTTTGACGTCTCCTATGGTTAATTATTTATCACTACCCGATATCATACTCAAGTGTTCTACTTTTCATTTAGAATCATTGTCCGTAATTATAATAATTATTTTTTTGTGTAAACAACACTTCACTTATAATTTAAAAAACCATCATTCTTATATAACATAAAAATGACCACCTCTAGGAAAACCCGATTTCTTAGATTAAATTAATTTACCAGTGGTGAAAGTGTAACCCATCTGATTCACACTTGTACTCTTACTCTAGCCCTATTCATAGTTGTAACCCTTATAATGTTTATGACCTTCCACACTTATATTCACTAGGATTTGTCATTACAACCATTGGTTATTAATGTAAATATTAAAGTATACCAAAGCATACTAAGCTATTTCATTCTAGTACCTATCGATTTGATAGACTACATCTATATACTGTGGTTATCGATTATTTCATGTCAGTATTCCACAGAGTTAGTCTACATCAAAGTTGATTAGAGTAGGACAAGAATATTAATTCGGCGTCCAACGATGACAGAATAGCATGGAAGGTAATCGTGAGTCTCGCTATTGTGATAGTAAGTGTATATTTCCTCTAAACTGTTAATATAGATAAAAATGCAGTTAATGCATATGAAATACACATTATTTCAAGTGCGTGTACAATAAAAATAAACCCCTCAAAATGAAATTGCTTTTAGACTAATGTAGTTTTGAGGTTTATGCCATGTAGTTGTAGTAACCAATGATTTGAAGTCTACCTAAACAACCACATTTGCCACAAGTATCAGATATGACACTAGTGTTAAATTAGTTATACAAAGAAATGTACCATAAACCAGATAGATAAGCAGTTTTGTTGGAGGACTGGAAGCATTCGATAGGAACTTAGGCTTCGACCCTGTTACCACTTGCCAGTAGGGCTTATCTAAAATTTCAAAGGAATCCTCAAAGATTCTGAACTACATCACCCATGCTATTCGCACTGTGATTCACCTCCCGTAGGAATTCTACGGACACACTAATTGGTCACTGGCGCAGGAAAGAGTTAACTAGTGTTATCTTATCTATTCTTTAGTTCCAACAAGCATTCCGAACACGTGAGCGCATTTGATTTTATAATGGATAATATGGCTAACAATGATAAAATCCTTGGCAATATTTAACAAATGTTTGGGTGTATTTATACAAACAGACTTGAAATTATATCTAATTACATGGAACGAAAAAAATAGAGTTCGAACTATGTGAAACAAAAGTCAGTCTGAAAGAAGAATGTTGGATTTAAACGGAACTTAATTACATCTGTTGCTCCTCGCGTCCCACACATCTGCAGAACTGATGCTCCGGAAAAAGAATTAGTTTTCTTGAAAAAAATCTTCATACAAAACGAATATCCACCAAAACTGACTGACAAGAACATCAAACCGGAAATTCAAAAACAGGAGACATTATCCGTATCAAAAAGAAACTTTATATGAGCCTTGACTTCAGAGGTAACCCAATCAATGATGACCTTAAGAGGAAACTTTTGGCTTCTTTAAGAAGAACTTCCTTTACCGCAACTCTAGGAGTAATGTTCACCAGTCACCACTCGTCCGCGGAAGCCGAAAGAACAAGATTTTGTATATGACCACTTCTAGGTGTATATATCAGTTCACCTGTTTTGGTGAGCTAGGTATATTGGTCGTTTGACTCAGATCATCTCTAAAAGGCTTCAAGAACACTATCCTGCATGGCAGCAAAATACTAGCAGTGACTCTGTTAAAAGCGTAATAACTGAACTTTTGTCACTTTATTTCAACAAACACCTCCTTTGAGGTGATCTAGAAAATGAAATCCAACATCCATTGCACTACTGAAGCTATAAGTGTACACATGAGGAAACCGGAGCTGTGTATACAGGAAAAAATCTGTCATACTCTTCTATTATCACGGTATGGACCCTTTTATTTTCGACCTAACTGTTTTTCTTATTTTATTTCCCTGACTATTTCTGTCTCATCCATCCTCCCGAACTCTTAGGTAACATAAAATGTCCTCTGCACCCTGATTACAACTTACTTATTAAATTATTTACCTCGTTGCGTATCTCTATCACACTTATTCAACTTCTCATATGTACTGAATGAAATTAGCAACTATTCTTAGGATGTTTGTAAAAAATCATATTTGTAAAATCTCAGCGAGATTGAAATGAGTAATTCCAACGTTTCGTTCGTCAATCTGGTCCGAACTTCTTCATGGAAATTAATCGAAATTAACATAGGTTTATATATAAAAAGGAACATCACTTGTTTTTGAAAATTTGTCCAATCATGAGTCATTCAAAAAGTATTAACAAGTATAATAAACAAAATTTTATGAGCTGTGATCAAAATTTGACCTCGGACTTACAAATATTGGTCTACCTTTGTTAAACACTTTAAACAGAGTGTGTATATGTGTGTGTGAACAGTTGTAAAACATTTCTTAACGTCTCCATAAGAAGATATGGACAGTCGAGAATTTTGACCAAGTATTAATAATTAGTGATACATATCCATTTTTATTTATTAATCAGGATTTCCTATGCATCAGCCAACATCACGCCTTCATGTCCGTTCAAACTGTTAGTATCTAGAATTTTATGATTAGACGTATTTTCAAAATTATGGTGTTTAGGATTAGCGTTTAGTAGAAGCACCCTGTCGGACTTATTCTTAGGATGATTCATCCCTATATTACTGTCCACTTTTACGAGGAAAAATAATTGTACACAAATGCGATTGTACAACTAAAGAAAATGAATTCGCCGAAAAGAGACTCTTCACTGAACTACACGTCTTGTTTCCGATGAATTCTCTTCAGGTTCTTACAGTTATAAAAAGTGGTTACAGTTATAACAATAGTTATCTGTCATCATTATAATAATATCAGATATATTGTAGATACCTTTCATCCTAAATTATGATTATGAATTTAAAATCAGATTGGCTTCAAGTTGTAGGATGACAAGCTGAATAGAAGTTTACATATCTCTGATACTAAAATCTTTCTAAAACCGCACTGAACATATTCATAAAGATTCATTTGATTTCAGATCCAAAACAGAAAATAACAATGAAGACATTATGGTTAGCTATGATGTTAATTCATTCTATACTAGCATTCCCATTACTCAAAGTCTCTTTATATCATTATTAGTTTACTAAAGTCAGAGAAAATCCCATCTGAAAGATGTCCACTAAACACCAATAAGATAATTAAACCCTAAAATTCAGTCTAGTAGCTGATTTACATTTTGTACATTTGAAGGAAATTTAAATGGACAGACAAATGGTATAGCCATGAGTTCACTAGCTTCACCAATACCTGCCAACCTCTGCGTCAATCAGTTTGAAGACAACATCTTCTCAGACATACCGAAACCAAAATATATGGAAAAGATACACTGATAAAACCTTCGTAGTACTAAAGCGAGACCTGCACAACTCGTTCTTAGAGAAACTGAGTAGTTAATCTCCCAGTATTAAGTTTGCTTCAATGAGTTGCTCTTTTTAGGCTGCTTAGGTAAGCAAAACGAAAATCCATATTTTAGTATGTCTGTATCTAGGAAGAAAGTAAACTCCAAGAAATTTTTGAACTTCAAACCCTTAGACCCTACTAGCGCAAAGTTTCCAGTTGTCTCGAATTTTAGGAAAACACACTCTATGATAAGAGATGAAAATGTGAAAGAAGGCATAGTAAATACCGAAATTCTTAAGAAAAATAACCATCCAAAGAATTTTGATAACAGAGTCAACATCATTTGATAACTTCGAGAACGTACTTCAAAAACGTGGATCAAAACAGGTGTTATTCCATCTGGATCGAACATGCCAGACTATATCACAAGAATACTCATTAACTGCAAAATGAAAGTTTTCCTCAAAATATCAGACACACTAAAAAGTAATCTTATCCATGCGAAAGACCGAACTCTGAAGGATTCATAGTCTAACTGTGTCTATAAAATAAGATGCCCAGAATGTTATGCAATATACATCAGACAAAATTCACACTAGAACAAGTTCAAAAGAAATGAACACCTTAGAGCTACTAGTCCACCACCAAAACATCCATTAGGACTAGAAATGTCTACAAAATCATCTGACATAGGCCTACATACTATGGAATCACATCATAAAATGGATTTTAATAATACTGAAATCATTCAGAAAAACTTTAAAAACCACATACAATGTCTCACGGTAAAAGGGCTCCATGTTAAATGGAGTGCAAATCATCTGAACAGGAATGAAGCATTAAAACAGAATTTGACCTAGAATCAGCACTACCACCCTCATGAATTGACAAAATCATTACAAATGTGATAACCACTTTCGTTATGTAAGCACATGTCCCCAAAGTTCATGACGAATTCATAATAATAATGTGATACAGAATGGAATTCTCAGCATTTCATTACAGTATTGCATCCAGTTAGCGCATTATCAATAAATAAAATTCTACATAGATTAAGGAAATCCCAATTCATTATGACAACAACATATTGGCAGGTCGGTAGCAAAGCCAAAGTTGAACAGTGTTTGAAGGTGTTAGAAAAGTAGGTGCTATCATATTTACTGGCGTAAGCGAGAGAAAGAAGCAAAGCAGCACATAACGGAAAAAAAAAGAGAGAAAAAAAAAGGAAAAGAAAGAAGGAAAATGTTGTACCTATAAATGATGTGAGTCGGAAAGATGAGGTCCAGTTGTACTACTAACTATTTAATGAATTATAGGTGTCACGCCTAATGCTTTCTTTATCGCACAGAACACGAGCCAAGTAGGGTATGGTTGAATTTTTGTACTTGCTGGTGCGAGCATATAGTTTCCTATATAGGCTTCTGGTTTTGCCTGATGAGATTCAAGGGGAGAGTTGTGAGTGAAGAGGGTGGTGTGAGTTAGATAAAATGGATTTGGCCCATTTCTCACATGAGTCCATGTGCCTGTCGACCAGAATATTAACAAACTGGTTAAGCGGCACGTTGCTTACTCTGCCGACAACCTTTAACATCCTGCGTAATATGTTATAGTCTTTCTTCAGTAGCCCGGGAAAAACTAAAGGGGAACAATAGAGAATAATAGGCACAATGCGAGAGTTAACGAACTGTAGGAGTAAGGGTTGGGTTATACCAGAATGTTTTAACTTCTTGATGTAGCAGGTAAGACGGAATATTTTCTTAGAAATCGCCAAGATATGAGACGACCAGGAGAGATTAGCAGATTGAATGATGCCTAGGTATTTAATTTCCGACTTGGTTTCTATTTCAGTGCCATCCAGGTGATAACGTGAAAAATACCTTACTCTGAAAAACTATGATTAAGTTACTGTATACAAGCTGAGATTAGGTGAATTCTGGTTTTATACGACTTTGATAAAGTTTTTAGCATTAAGTAGTGAAACATCTGTGAAAACAATATTATTATTTTATTTTCCACTCATTAGGAAATGACAAATTGTTTTATATATTAGTACCCAAAGTACATACCCAAAGTTCAAATATTTTTCAAACTGTTAACTCTGAACTTAGTCTGGACATGTACAAATAGCATTTTTACGATAAATTTTGTGAGCTGAATGTGATTACAAATTAATCCGAAGTGGATGAGGATGGTGATCAATCATAAATTCATACAGTGTAGGGAAGGAAAACTCATAAGTTAGTTATATGAAATAACTAAAAAATTAATTTGAAGAGAGAAAGAACGAACATGTTTGCAAGATAGTACGACCTCGTTTTATTTCGTGGATATTCATCAACTGAATACATCCTAAACAAAATCAAACTATAAGTTTCAAAAAAGTTTTGGAACATACTTTTTTCATAATTACTTGGAGTTATAGATAGTTATAGTTCTGACCCTGACCCTGTATTATGCCTCTAACCAATCTGTGTTTTCCAATAGAAATCTGAACTCTAACCCCTCTTATCTAATTCCACTACTTATAGTTAGTTGTTTTTTGACACTGAATAATCTGTCTACCTACATCAAATTCTGGAATTATGTTCCTTATATCTTCTATCTATAACTCCAAGTAATTATGAAAAAAGTATGTTCCAAAACTTTTTTGAAACTTATAATTTGATTTTGTTTAGGATGTATTCAGTTGATGAATATCCACGAAATAAAACGAGGTCGTACTATCCTGCAAACATGTTCGTTCTTTCTCTCTTCAAACTAATAAAAGGAACCGGTTGTATAAAAAATTAATATCAGTGGTGATCTTATGATCGGGCATTGATGTGTTTTGCAGGATATAATAACGGATTTCTCTTAATATCAAGCCGCAGGGTTTCTATCATCAAATGTATAGCCAGTGAGCCCAATTGGTTTTCGTGGATTTCTTCCACTTACACATAGCAGCAACTAGTTTGGATCTAAAAGAATGTACATCCAACGCCAACTTGCATCCTCAACAAATAAAATGTTAAGGATCTTGAAACCGAACAGAAAATTGTCAGTCTCCGAACCAACTACATGAAGTTCTTAATTCACCTTTTATTCACGTTGTAGGAATTAAAGTCAGTGAAAATTATAACCAGAATGTCCATTAACCATTAATAATTTCTCCTCAAAGTATTACAAAGCCAAGTTATAAAGTCAATCCAAAAAACACACGAAAAATATCTAAAATGCTTAAAGTTTACTCACTTTATTCAAAGTTTTCCACCGAAAACATAACTTTGGTACTGGTTTATGCACAATGTGCTTTTGCATATAACTACCGATGCATGTCAAACGTAAAGTTTTTATTTCCTGTGATACACGAAATGTTAATAAATTATCAGAATATTTTAAAAACCAGTTAATTTCATCTAAAAAATTTGAAGAGTAATTAGTGTTGACTACATTTTTAATTTCATTATTCCCACTATCGATAGACTGCAAATAAAAATGCATTTCTGGTGCAATGACCGGCGTGGAGAGTGGCCATATAGGTTGAACAGTACGCTGTTGGTTAATTTGGCCATAATTACATAACATGAATAACATAACACGTGGAAATTGTGACTTTAAAAGGCATAAACCAAAACGGTTATCATAATAGTATGAAACTGATGTGGATGGATTATTCATTGATCTGTCGAAAGGATACCATATCTGACGACTTGATCTATGTGGTGTTAGTTGATAATCAATCGAAAATAGGGGATCATGATTTTTTAATGTGCTGTTTAGTGCGGGACACGGTATGAGCATAGGTTGATCACGTATAACATCTAACTGTACAGGATCCATGTTCACTGAATTAGTGTATAGAAAAACGCTACCACAATGCGGTGAAGTATTTTTTAACTTGGGTAAATCATTCATTGTATCAGTTTGTTTAAATAAACAGCGGTTTTGTTCATACCAAGGACAACATGGACAACACGTTGGTTCTTTCGGAAGCCAGTTTACAGTCCCTTTACCCTGATAGCTGGAAGATTGACAACACTGGTATAGTCCACGAAAATAAGAATGTTCAGCATTTGTATTGGACAGTCGAATTAGGAGGGTACTTTGATTCCTTTCTATGCTGAATTCAGCTACCGGTTTAAGTTTATAAGGTACAGTTGATGGAATAAACCATTTCGATCCAAATGAACACGTTAATATTATTTCACTAGTGATTATAGGAACATCGTATACACGATCGTGTTCATTCTGTTTTATTTCATAGAGTAAAGCATTCACAAGATTTAACAATGGTGTTTCGTGGACAAAAATGATAATCAAAAGTAATTTGATAAACATATCCCAAGTTATTTCTGTTAAATGTTCACGGTGAATAATACATGGACATATAAGTCACTTCTGCCTCTATATGGTTATATCTAACGGTAGTTACTTTATTCAAATAAAGAATTCACAATTCATATTCCACGATTCTATCATCATTATTATTTATTCAATAATATGATGACATACAATATTAGGTAGCTAGCTGTCAAGGTCACTGGTCACATATGTTTATATGTTACTGGATTATTGTTAGCTGAAATGGATGTACTCGAAATCCACGTACGACAATTGGTGCACAACATGTATGTGAACTGAGAGAGATAGAGGGAGGAAATGAAGTGCCACCTTCCATCAGTAATTTATAAAATTAGATTAGATGGTATTGTATACAGTGACATCAACTACCAATAACTTCATCATTTATGTATTTATGATAAGACAGTTGATTCTACTGCTTAAACATACAGATTCGTGTACACTTATGGTACTATATATATGTATACATATATATATATATATATATATATATATATATATATATATGAAAAAGTGTAACAATATGTTCTATAGACTTTTGTTTACATTAAACTTTCTATAAACCAGTAAATTCATCTACAGTCTCATAAAGTTATTAGTGTGTTTTTCGTTGATTAATTCTAAAATTACGCTTTCATCTTAATGTATAAATTTGAATTAGGATTAGTAAAACTTGTTGAATTCAGGTGAGTTAATGAAAGTTTTTTGAAGGTAAGATTAGCTGAATACTGAACGTTTATAGCATCATTTTTATAGGTTAGCTGTACATTAGATGTATGTAAATACTTTTCATTGTTTCACAGTATAAGCTAAATAGTGGTACGTACGAAAACACAAAATACGTAGTTGTACAGTTTTGATAAGAGTTTTCACTGACTTCATTCTATTAGTTGTATTCACTTCCTTACTTCTTGAGATTTATCTCACAAGCTCATTAAAAGCTTTGAATAATCAGTAAGCGCAGTTTGAATCAGGAACTGATATCTGCTAGAGAACTTTAGAAATTCATTTAGAACTACATACGCGTTTGTTTCCAGTTTGTACTATTTTGATGGCAAATTGCTGACTATCACATCTAAGACCGAATTCGGATGCATTATTCTCTGAAAGATATCGATTCTTTGTAACCATTATCAAGTCAATGATTCTGTATGGTTCAGAGACTCGGCGAGCGCGTCACTGAAGGCATTTCCATCAGCCTACTGTAGATTTTCATTGGCGAATGAAGTCACTCATTCGATACTGAAGATCCTCTGTCCTGCCAGAAAGTATAATCAACAAAGAACTCTGGCTGAACAGTGAACATGCCAAAAACCTACTACCGAGAAAAAACATGCAGAAGAAAATGCAGGTGGAGAGATGGATACCTTCAAGTGACATCACGCGTCAGGTCCTTGAGTGGAGGCCGAATGAGAATCGACCAGCTGGGACTTGGATACGAAGGTGACATGGAGATGATTTGAGGAAAAAATGAAAGCTTGTTCGAAGTCGCGAAGTCAGTTGAAAGTGATGGCAGATAACCTAGTGCAATGGAGATGCGCTGATGAAGCCGTGTGTTCCACTTGGAACGCAATGAATGAATGAATGAATAATGTCATCTCTGTTAGAATCAATGCTGACTCAATGCATTTATCTAAAGATTCATTTAGGATTATCTGCTTAATAATTGTAATGAACACAAAATTAATTGTGTTAAGTAAAAAGTCAATAATTTTGTCAGCTGAATAGAGTTCAGTATTAGGCATGTGCTTGATTCATATTTTTGTATACAGCTTGTTAAATTTATAACTTATAAGTTTAACAAGTAATATTATTCATTTTTACACTTTTATCTAATCAAAATAGGCTTTATTTTGTTGTCACTGTATTAAACTAAATAAGATTGTTTATTTACAGTGATCTATAAATATACAATTCGTGGCCAGCAGGTTACAGCAAGTTGAAGGTGAGGACAGTTACCCATTGAAGACATTGCGAAGTGGTCACACTGGGTCACATAAGTTAGAATTCACAGACCATTAGACCGTTTCCCAGGGGCTTATTGGTCTATGAGCTCGCCTTGTAACCAGAAGGTCCTGGGTTTGAACCCCTGTGATGGGTGCATACTGCTGAAGAGTCCCAAACTAGGCTGACGAAACAGATGTCTAGTACTCCCTGTATGTTTTCCAATGGTGCTCTAACGGATGTCACCTCATGATGAAATCTTGTAACCAAATAGACAAGAGTTGTTTTCTATACTTTTATTCACTGAAATTCTGATCCGATTGCATGTGTGTATTGTGTAGTTCAATAAGCTAACCCTATGCAGGACGTTGCTAAGTTTTTCCAATAAAGTAAGATTATTTGAAAACTTTGCTGTTAACGCAACCATCGAATTGATTAGGAATAATCCAATAACATGATGAATAAAAGTTTTTCCATTTAAAACTAAAATTTCAGGTACACTCAGTTTGCTTAAGCCGTTGGGCTGCCTAATTTTCCGTAGAGCACAGTGCCTCAAGTTTGCTCAGTCACACCTTGTTTTAATCATCTAATTACATCCTTCAGAAATAATCTGCATTCATATGCATTTATGAATGACTTTCATTATACCGGCGAGTAAGTTTTCAAGGGATAAAGTATTCAGAGGTTGGATCATATTTGAGTTCTTACAATATTTCGTCAAATGATATACTGTAGACCACTGTTTCAAATGAAGACTCTGTATTCCTTGCAGGTTGAAACCGACCGAAAATTCTTAACTGTGTATAAAATTAAATTAAATAAGTCCGATTAATATTAAACCACTTTATTTGTGATTATATACAAAGTAATTATATTTTTGAGCAAAGGAAAAACTGTGGAGAAAAATTTAAAGATTTTGAGGGAAACCTTGAGGCAGAAAGTTCAGGTTATCGAAGGTTATTCTGAGGTTTCCAAAGACAATTTTGGAGCAGATTAGTGTAAAACCTCGGGGAAATTTTGGGTAAATGCATCAAGATTCCCTCGAATTCCATAAATTATGAAATATGTTAAAGTCAGGGCAACAAGTATATTATTATTTATTATCTTACTAGTGTACACTTTCACCAACTATCAAAATCCCTGGTTAGTGGATTTATTTCAGCTGGTTTTCACTTATGGTGTGGTGAGAGCTGGTTGCATGCCGAAATTGTAGACAGCAATTTACGTCAATGTTACGCCCCGAATCGAGGTCATGAGATAAAACAATAACAAAGCTTAACCTTAAGGAACTCACCAACTAATCATGGCAGACTTAACGGGTGCAAATAGGATTCGCAGATGTATGGCTTAACTTTCTGAGAAATGGTCACAAGCAAGAAAACAACCAATCAGAAGACGTTGCTTCTCCTCTGACAATGATGTACATAAAAATCTATAAACATCTCTTGATTTTCACAATAAACGATCTGTTGCCTGGCCCTTATCTTCTGTCGTTACAATGGTAATTTTGTAAATCACGTAATGCATTTATTTTTACTGTTGTTATTTATACGATGTTTTCTCATCAAATTGAAATCTTACGCTAAAATATGATTCACAGCTGTAAGTACACCATTTTTGCATATATCCAGACTATGAATGTTAATAATTTCCTGGGATAATTTGTGCACCGAGTCTGACAGAATCATTATAAAACCACTTAATATGATCCCGACACTGGACAAATGAAAGTCAAAGTGAAGGATATCAATGATGCACAAGACATCCGTCTAGGAATGGAGTAGAACTAAAAAGTCTTGATGAAACATCGGTTACAGTAAGGCCTGCAGTAAAATATGAAGTGAAGGTTGATCTTGACGATGTTGAAATACTAAGAAGAGGTTTTCGTTCACATGTAGAAAGGTTTACCGCTGAAGCCTTGCATATTTTAACTGCATCGATTCCAATAAAATGGAGAGAAGTGGTCTGACAGAGTGATTAAACAAAACAGATTAAGGCAATTCATTGCTATATTTTTCAACCACTGAACTACAGTCATAATTATCACTCATGAATGAACATGTTTCTTCATACAGTAAAAAACACATATACACACAAAATAAACACAAAATATTTAACAATGATAAAACAAGAATAAAAGAGACCGATATTGTTTTCAATTAGAACTTCCTCAGGCTTCACCCTGATGTACATAGTTTTATATATAAAAAATTTTAACTAATGATGGCGAATTTATGGATTAAAATTAAAAAGTGCTAAATGTTAAATGGTCCGAACCGGCCACAAAGCCAGCATTTAAGAATCCTTCTTTATCATCTACTGGGTACCAAATAAATTGCCAAAAGCACTCAGGTACAGAATACTCCAAACAGTAGAGGTTATTTTAATTCGCTTAAACACAAACGGTGCCCTGGCCTACTGTGGAGTCTGAAAATTCGTAAATACCTTATCACGTCGGTCTTTTTTGATATGGCCCTCCATCTTGAACATATAAATTCCCCTAACCCTCGTTGTTACATTTGTATTAACTAAACTTTTGTTATTGAGGCGAACTCCATCCTCACTCCCGACTGGATGGACCCCACTGGTCACAACTCCTCACCAGCGAGCACCAGATTAATTTTCGAGAATTAGTTTGTAAGGATTCTGTTTGTTCCACGTTAGGCCACGGATTGATATCAGTTAGAGGATCATTGAAAACCAGGGAGTACTGGTTAGCTGTTTCGTCCTATTTGAGACTCATCATCAGTACGCATCCACTGGACTTCAAACACAGGACCTTCTGGTTACAAGGCGAGCTCGTAGACCATTCAGCCACTGGGACCGATTCAACGGCTCATGAATTCTAACTTCTACCAATTCGTGATGTTAGTGCGACCACCAACCAATGTCATGGGCGGGAACTCACAGTGCGTGCGTACTGCCGATGAGTCCCAAACTAGGATGAAACAGCTAACCAGTACTCCCTGGTTTTCAATGGTCCTCTAACTGATATCGATCCGTGGTCTAACGTGGAACAAACAGAATCCTTACAAACTAATTCTCGAAAATTAATCTGATGCACGCTGGTGACTGGCTACGGGACGAAGTCGCCTGATGTTCTGGTGAGAAGTCGGAACCTTTTGTTTTCTCATCTAACTGTAGTTGCTAACTTACACACTGACATACATACAACGCACATAACCTGCTATCCGAAATTTTTTTCTCTCCCCCCATCCTTGACATGATCACTCATCCATTTGAAGTTTATAATGAATATGA